GCATCAGGTCCCCTTGGGGATGGACGCCGGTGGAGAGGAGGGGACAATCACCCAGCATCAGGTCCCCTTGGGGATGGACGCCGGTGGAGAGGAGGGGACAATCACCCAGCATCAGGTCCCCTTGGGGATGGACGCCGGTGGAGAGGAGGGGACAATCACCCAGCATCAGGTCCCCTTGGGGATGGACGCCGGTGGAGAGGAGGGGACAATCACCCAGCATCAGGTCCCCTTGGGGATGGACGCCGGTGGAGAGGAGGGGACAATCACCCAGCATCAGGTCCCCTTGGGGATGGACGCCGGTGGAGAGGAGGGAACAATCACCCAGCACCAGGTCCCCTCCTCTCTACCGGCGTCCATCACCAAGACGGTTGCTCGCAGGTATCAAGAAGATTGCCACGCATGCGTGATGATGTCACGGCGGAGTGACGCCCGGTAACTGCTCCGGTTGTCACACACCCTCAGGGCGACCCTGGGGGAGCCCTTACCCAGTACTCATGGGACTTACTTTGGTGGGTTTGGTGGTCCATAGGTGGACCTGAGCCGTCCTTGCTCCTGTCAGGAGACTTGCGCACAGTGGCGGCGGGGGGGGGGTTCAGGAATTTCAAGGGCCCTTCCTCTTTGGAGGAAGAGCGCAGCACCCTCGTGCACTTTTTTGTTGTCTGTTGTGATTCTAAGATTCACTTATTTTCTTTGCAGAGGTCACGCTGTCTTTTTGGACTACAGAAAAAAAAAGGAGCCTCGCGCCCCGAGGGCATCAGGGATGGTGGCCCTTCCACTTTTTGAAGATTCAAAAGCACCCTCATGCACTTTTTTGGGAGTGTGTTGATTTACTTTCTTTTGTGAGCTTGTCCTCGACGCACCGGGGGACTTCCAAAAACAAAAACCACCGCAATGCATATGCAAATTGTTACTTCGCATATATACAACCCATAATGCATTTCAAGTGTACAGTCTCCCTAAGTTCCGAATTATACTGGCTCTGGTCTGATCCCCATTCCGGCGTGTGGGCTTGCCTGATTAGGGAGCATCCTGCCTGGGTTGGTAGGGTGCTCTGGTCATTTGGAGGAAGGCAGATGAAGCCTAAGAGTGGAGGCTGCCTGTACTTCTCTGGGATCTGGACGGGGGTCACAGCACCTCCTCATTCCACCATGTCTGCCCAGGGGCTGGGAAGGTAGGGAGCTTGACAAGCCTCTTTGGAGGACTTGGTAGGTGGGGATGAATGGCTTGTAGTCAATGATAACCCTAAGGGGGTGTTAAAGTGCTGATAGAATGTTCTGGTCTATGGATAGGGTACGGCTGGCTGAAGAAGAGTACAGGACTTTGTCTGATAGGTGGTCCCACTTCCCCAGCACTGTAACCCCAAAGGATCTAGAGCCTCACGGGGCTTGGGAGTGAAGGGATCACGATTTGCTTTCTTTAGGGAACATGTTCTTCGATGCACCGCGGACTTCCAAAAACAAAACCCACTGCGATGAATATGCAAATTGCTACTCTGAACAACCCATAATGCATTGCACGTGTAAATACGTTCTCCCAATTATACCGGCTCAGGCCTGAGCTCCATTCCTCTCGACTAGAATTGTGGGGCTAGGGAGCACCCTGCCTGAGTTGGTAGGGAGCTCGGGTCATCGGAAGGAAGCCTCCACTCTGATAAGAGTGGGCTATGAGTCCTTCCCTAGCGCCTGGGATCTGGAGGGGTCACCGTACCTCCAGATTTCAGCAGGTTTGTCCAGAGGTTGGGAACTTGTAGGACCTCTTTAGAAGAGCCACCAACCCAGGAGAACCTTAACTCTTGGGCAGATGGACATGAGACAGTACTGAGTACACTTCTCTTGTTTTTTGGGTTTTACGCACCTACCATGTCATGGGCTTTCATGACTTCTGCATAATATCAAGGGGCGTGGCATTTTGGGACCCTCCCAACCACCCTAGCGGCGCGGTTTCGGGGTTCACCTTCCACTTAAGGAGAAACTTGGCTCATTTGCATTTTACTCTAATATGCCAATGAGAAAAAGGGTGTCAGTTTGGGGGTATCCCTTCACCTTACGGGGGGGGGGAAACTTTTCGAATTTACATATTATTATAATTTATGTTGATGAAGAAAGACTTTTCTATGGAAGTCATGGCGGCTCCTTTATTTCTGCCCTCAAAAGAGACTGCGCCCTCTATTGGTGGAGGCTGTGATAGGAGGACCCCCCCCCCACCACACACTTTACCACCGGACTGGTTAGATTACCATACATTGATGGAACATATCATGGAGGACATAGTTCATGAACACAGCGGGAGCGTTGTGCAATCTGAAGGACATTACCAGATACTCGTAGTGCCCCCTCCGGGTATTAATCGCTCTCCTCCACTCCTGGCCTTCCTTCATCCTCACAAGATTAGGCGCACCCCCTAAGATCGAGTTCGGTAAAGACCGTTGCTCCCTTGAGGCGGCCACATCATTGCGTGATCACAGGAATGGGGTAGTCATTCATGATCGGGATGCGACTGAGATCCCTATAATGGCCTTCGCTCGCCACCCTTCTTCTTTACATATAGAGAAGGCCAACTCCTGCCGGAGAAGCGGGCTTGGGGGATGAACCTCGGGAAAGCGCACCCTCAACATACTCCTCCATGGCCTTACTCGCCTGCAACAAAGAGACCCTGCCACCAGGAGAGACTACACCAGGCTGCAAGTCCATAGCACAACCATATGGACGATGTGGTGGACCAGTACCAGCACGCACCCTACCAAAGACCTCCAGATATTCCGTGGGCCACGTGGAGATGGAGGATGTACAAAAGGAACATAACCGACCTGCAGGCTACATTATGGAGACCACAAAATCCCATACCAGACCCTTAATCCGGGCACTGGCTTGGCAGGAAAGGGGGGTACAAGCAAAGGGCATTGGGAAGGCTTTTGCCCCTGGAAAAGAACTTTGTCCCCGTGCCCCATGGGTCTTCTTTACAAAGAAAAGGCCGGCCCAATTGAAACAGCGAGGAGATAACAGGACTATTTATTAGCAGAGTGTAACGATTTACAGTCTTTCATCAATTTTAGGTCAAATTGTTGCAAGTTTATCACCCCCGTCAATGGATTTTTGTAGTCACCGTAGAGCCGTCTCTCTGGGAATGTTCCTCCTCTAGGAGGGTTGGACACTAGACGGATGGAAAGTCACAGCTCCCCCTGGTGGCCTACACCGAGATGGTGGGGCTGATTACTCGATGTCCTCTGATCTAAGGTGGGTGCCAGGTTGGTAGGCGGGCTCCCAATGGATGGATTTTTGTAAAGCCCCCTCTGTGGGAACATCCCGCCCCTGGGCAAGTGACAATTTAGCTTCAGTGAATCCCTTGCTCCAGAAGTTCTCTGGGAATGCTCTTCCTCCAGCAATTGGGACACTAGGCACACCAAAAGACACCGTTCCCGCCCCCCCCTCACCCGCA